GCACTGTCGGTGAAATGATACAGTTGGGTAAATATTTTGTCGGGAAAATGGTTGTTGAGAAAATTATATTGTCAGCACGATCCATGGCAGCAGATTCTTGTGGATTGCTGGATGCCTTATATTCATCTGCTTTATCTTCAGTACTGTGATTCATATCGGCTGATGGTTGGCAAAATGGTGGTGCTTCAGCTTGGTTCGAGTTCTGTTCAAATGCTTTGGGTTTCCTTTCAACTTCTATCCCATTTCAAGAGCAGTGTCCAAGGTCAGTTTTTTTGTCAGGTGGTTCTGCACCAGTAGATTCTTTGGGTCTTCGAATGCCCTAGATTCGTCTGATACAACTCCAATTCCGATTTGACAGCAGCCCTTCCTGGTTTTTATCTTGTCAATACAATCCATAGTTATTTGCTTCTGTTGGGGGTCCCTTTTCAACTTCAGTTTCTTTACTCTTGACCTTTTTAACTCCAATTCCATGGCAGGGGCCAACCTGGTATATTTCATCAGCATTTCCTATCTCTGATGATTTCTGGTAATAAATGGGCATCTGGTGTTCATCCTTTTCAGCTTCATTCCCTTTCTTATAACAAAGACCAAGGTTATATATTTCGTCAAAACATTTGATTTGGTCAGATTTCTTTCGTCAACACAATCTACCACAGCAGATTTTTGGGAGCCACTGAATTCCTCATGATTATTCATTTCAGCTCCAGTCATAGCGTGAGTGTCTAGGCTATTTAGTTCATCAGTGTCGCCCATATCAGTTACAAGTCCTGTACTTGACTGGGTTTCTTTATTAGTCAGAGAGTTTACACTATACGAATCATTATGCTTCTTTTCCTCTGAATCTTCAATTACGCTGGCCACATATACTTCCTGGACTTTTACTTGTTGTTCTTGGCACAGCCTAGATGTGATTTCAATGGTAGGGTGGGTAACAACTGGACTCGGATCCACAGTTTGTTTGGCTGTCCCATGGAATTGATCTACTTTTCTTGTCCATTCTATACATTTGTTTTCTAAATTCATACTCTTTAGCTTTTCATTTTGTCTACAGGGCAATTGGTTGGGCTCACCTTCCAAAACTCAGGCGGGGTATTCTTCTTTATTGGCATCGCAGAAGTAAAGTGGCTTTTATCTTTTCTTCATTAACATCTCTGAGGATATCTTTAAGCATTCGAACCAGTATTTCTCTGAATTGACCACTCTCCATTGTTGTAAATATGTATTTTTGGGTTTATAAATATGGCAAGGGAAGTTCAATCTCACAGTCACCACCAAATGTAAAAGGCGAAAATGATCCGGTTCTGGATAATACAACTACACACTACTAAAACTCAATAAATTACTCTAACCAGAACACCACAACTAATAAAACCAAAACCCTAATATTGGTCAGGCAATGATCAAGGCGTGGAAGACTTGGTCTGAGTAATCAGGGTTATTTGGGTTCTTAGCGATAGTGTCGGATAGAGCTCTGGATTACGTCACAAATCTCTTAATACAACGTCACGGGATTTGGTCACGAATTCCAGTCATAATTTACTTATCGGGGGAGGATTTGTAGAACAATCGCTTCTACTTAAAGAACACTACTCACAAGTTAAATACTCTGATTTCTTTAACTTAGAGCTTTGAACTCAACTGAGTTATGTTTATTTTTGGAGAGAACCTCCACTTATATAATAATTTTTACATATACAGGAATAACGCGAATTCTAATTATTCCAGCTATTCTAATTATTCCAGCTATTCTAATTATTCTCGTTATTCTAGTTATTCTCGCTATTCTTTGAATTCTTCGAATTCCAGGAATTCCAGGAATTCGTACAACCAATTCGGTGGCACTAATTTTGCCGACACTCATTTTCCGACACCTGATTTCACCAAAGCCACTTTCCCGACATTCATTCCCCCGACAGTATTATTTTGCTGACAATATAATTTTCTCAACAACCATTTTCCCGACAAAATATTTACCCAACTGTATCATTTCACCGACAGTGC